AGTGAAATAAAAAAGAGATTAGACGCGTTTGTAAAATATGCAAAAATGTAGTTTACTGTCAGTTAAGACACGTAATAAAAAGGAGGCAGATAAAAATACAAGAGAAAATAAATTAATGAAGTTAAATAAAATTGTTTAAAATTATACTGAAGTTAAACTGATGATAAAAGTACATTTTACGCGATCGGTATCAACTTGGAACAAAACACATAGAACTATAGAGCATTTTACAGCGGGATTTACCTCCTTCACAGTTTGAAGCGAACTCATAAAGATAACAAGCTGTTCCCACAAGTTGGAAATGAACTTCTAAAGGTAACAAGCTGTTCCCACAAGTTGGAAGCGAATGCCTAAAGGAAACAAGCTGTTCCCAGAAGTTGGAAGTGAACTCCAAAAGAAACAAGGTGTTCTCACAAGTTGGAAGCGAATGCCAAAAGGAAACAAGCTGTTCCCAGAAGTTGGAAGTGAACTCCAAAAGAAAGAAACTGTTCTGACAAGTTGGAAATGAACTCCTATAGGAAACAAGGTGTTCTCACAAGTTGAAAGTGAACTCCAAAAGAAAGAAGCTGTTCTCACAAGTTGGAAGTGAACTCCAAAAGTAAACAAGGTGTTCCCATAAGTTGAAAGTTAACTTCTCTAGGAAACAAGGTGTACCCACAAGTTGGAAGTGAACTCCAAGAGGAAACAAGGTGTTCCCTCAAGTTGAAAGCGAACTCCTAAAGGAAACAGCTGTTCACAAAGTTCATCTTGCTCTCTGTAACACAGCAAATCATATTCGGAGTGCTAGTAATTTGTCTATACCTGCAGACAATTAACAGTCGTGAAGTAGCCTCACACTGAAGTGATACTAAATAACAACACAACTTTGACTGATTTCTGCTATAGGGGTTAGAATCTAGGGAGATATTAAACAGATGACCTATAAGAGATTTCTTAAATCTGAATAAGAACTTAGAGAAAATTAAAAAAAAATTGCTTTTATGAAACCTAAATAAAACTATAGCAAACTTCATCAGCCTGATCTGTGAGCTCAGAAACTATAGAGTAACAAGATAGCATATTACATAAAGATATAATCATCATCATACATCAGATAAACTAGAAAGCAACAATAACGAAAAACTTATAACTATGTAAAATTGTTATCTTCATAAACATTTTATCAATGCAGAAAAATATGAAGTAGTAATGAAAATAAACTTTACAGACTGAATATGCACAATCAGGTTGGTAATTTAACATGTACGTAGATATCGCATGTATCATTTTCTTAAAGTTTATACAATGTATAATTAAAACCAGAACCAAGTAAGTCCAGTTTATTTCTGATTTCAGCATGAATCAATCTAGGATTTTGTTTGTTTGTTTTTGAATTTCGCGCAAAGCTACACGAGGGCTATCCGCGCTAGCCGTCCCTAATTTAGCAGTGT